TTGGCTCTGTCTTTTGACTTCATGATCAAATAATGCTTGCTTTGTATACTTGTGGTTCAATGCATTGGACTAGTTTTGAGTTTCGGGGCTTATTCCATGCATCGGGTGCCATATTTCCATGTTTCGGGACCATTTAGCATTATGTTTCAGTGTTGAAAATTACATGTTTGAATGCCATGCTTCATCCTTGCCATATTTTGGTAGAGTGGCATTTAATACCTTAGGTTCGGTCCTCGATATGCGTACATGTGTGCACGCATTTCGGTTGTCTCATTTTCATCTTATGACCACTGATGTGAGTGTGGCTAAGGTCCACTCATGATGGTGTAAGTCCATTATGCATTGTGTATGCCTTTTCGTTTTATAACATTGCGTATGCTAGGTTGCATGTTAGAACTTTGTGTATGCCGTGTTACATCGAGCATTTGTGTATGCCATTTCATAGCATTGTGTATGCTAGGTTGTATATTAGTCGCATTGTGTATGCCATCTCATTTGCATTGTGTTTGGGATAGGAGTTAGCCCGAGCACGGGAAACGAGGGACGTTTCGTACTTCGAGTGACGAAATGTGTCTCAGTTCCCTGTCGCCGACACTCTGGCTTACCCATGATGGAGTTTAGGTCTTGTTGTGTTTTCATGTGCATTCATCTCATATTGAGTCGTGTAATTCGACTCCTCGGCCATCATGCATCGATATGCGTGATTGGTGGCACGAGGATCGAGGACTACACTCCCTGAAGAGTAGTCATGCATACATATGTGAAATACTTTGCCATGCCCCTTTATTGCTCTCTGTTGCAGTAAATCAGAAATCAGCGGCCTTCTGGAGCGTTGCGCAATATTTTGAAAATAATTGCAAACAGAGACAAACCGAGGCATCGTAATGGATTTCTACGCAAGGCAACTCGAGCATGCATCATTCATCATTTGGAACAGAGCTGAGGCAGTCCATGGATTTGCGTGCCAATTTACCTGCTTTCCAAGATTAATTTTTTAATTAATTAGGGTTTTGTATTTATTTAGAGTGTATTATTTATTCGGACTGTATTATTCATTCGGACTGTATTATTCTTTCGGACCCTCCGAGCCAGGGCAATGTTGTAATAAGTGTGCGTGATTGTGATGTATGTCTTTCAACCCCACGTCTTACTCCCTTTTATTTACCAGCTTATGATAGTTAGATTAGGGCATGTTTCAATTAGCATACAGTATGATAGCATGTTTCCATTCATTCATCTCTTGCATGCACCGGGCTCGGCGCATCATACTAACTGCATTTGTATTTCAATTCCAAGTTGAATACGTGTTAGCTGTAGCATTTCACATGCCATCCTTAGAATAGCCGGGCCTATCTTAGTTGCATTTTGCATGTGTTGCATTAGGCATTTCAGCATAGTTAGGATCATGCATTTGATTTCTAACATAGCTTCTGTTTTGGCACGGAGTACTAGGTAAGCTTTTTATGCTTAAACATCCTTGCATGTGTGTGAGTGACTGCCATGATTGCATGCTTTACCATGAGGCTATTTGCTTATGTGATATACCTGCCTGAATACCTATCGGTGAAGGTTGGGTTATTTGAATTGGAACAATTCATCGATTGTGAGTTTTAAAGCCCACTTGAGAGTGGCAAATCATCTTGTTTTCTAAGCCCACCTGAGGGTGGCAAATCCACATTTTAGCCTACTTGCGGGTAGCACTATCAAACCATTTTCAAAATAAACAAACATGAAATGTTTTGTTCCAATTCAGGCGATCCAATCTATACTTGTATGCTGTGCGCATCACGTAGTAAATCTAAGCTAATAACCGGAATAAGAACGCATAATGTTTTCAAAACCTGATATCATGGTTAGTAGAGGCCGATCTTTGATCGGGCGAGCGGGGGTGCTCATGAAGTGACCTTCCCCAATCGTACCCAAGGCAATGAGTCAGGGTTTCCTAAATTTCTCAAAATAAAATATTTAGGTGGCGACTCTGTATCTGGCAGAGCAGTCCATATTTGGCACTTCTTTCAAAAAATCTAACAATTTGCCGGATCTGAACTCTTTGATGATTCATCGGTCTTGCATTGCACTCTGCGAGATTAGATACAGGACCGTGACATTGAGTCCTGAACTGTAGTGAGCCCAATGAACAAAACGAGGAGGATTTCCCTCCCGGGACGTTCGGGGACGTCTACAATAACTCTCTGAAATTTATTCCTAATATTTTATATGAAGAATAATGCACTAAAAGAAAATGGACAGCAAAGAGACAAGAATTTCAGACTGAATTTTTCGGATCCCATGGACTGCTGAAAATAGATTTTATTTATAGGCAAACAAAGTCCCGAACAGGTGCAACAAATTTAAATGAACAGATGCCCTTTCTAAAAGAACAGGTGCACAAGTTGTATTCAAATAATTCTGACGGTTGAACCAAAACTCAAAAAAGTGTCCGTTGGTCAAATGTAAGAACAGTTTGGAACTTTCTTTAATAACTATTTGAAATATATATATATATATATATATATTAAACTAATAGAAAACATTTATTAAACTATTTTGAATAGTTTAATCATTTTTTAGGAAAGCACAATTTGAATTTAGAATTAAATTAAATTCTCACAATTACAAACTTTAAGAAATCACTTAGGAACCCAAAATTTGAATTTAGAATTAAATTAAATTTTCACAATAATTTTTATTAAAAAAATTCAAATGAATTTTATCTAAAAAATTAATGCTAGATCCAAAAACGACGTTAACTTTCCATTCACTCATAAATGATTTTGACATTCCGTTTTTACCGTTTGACTTACCACGCGGCAAGGAACACTTCACCTCTTCGGACCCACCCCAAAAGACGTTTGGGGCCCACTCAAATTGGGCTAAAAAATATGCCTATATTAAACCATTTTTCCAACACAAATTTTACTTCACCCTTGTGCTTTGGGCCGGGTGACGATTACCCTCATGATATTTAGCAATCACCACATGACTTCCATGTGATTTATGAACTAAAATGCACGCTAACTTTTGTTAACAGAACATGTAATAAATTGATCATTATATCCTCATCTTCTTGTTCTTCTATCTTTAAATTAAACCTATAAGTATATATCAACTATATATGTATATCTATATACATTACGTCTCTATAAATGACTTAAAGGAAATCATAACTTTCCTTTCTTTCTTCATCAATACCAAATAGTCTGAAATCAATTATAAAACGACAATGCTACGTAGCTCAAATTTTGTGGCTCAAAAGTGGCTCAAATGGCCAAAACGACGTCGTTTTGAGTACAGAACAACATAAAAATGGCCAAAACAACGTCGTTTTAGCCATTTGAGCCACTTTTGAGCCATAAAATTTGAGTTACGAGACATTTTCCATTACCAAATCTCGATGCCCTAGTTTTTGATGGAATTGATCTGCTCAAATGGGGCTGCTTTGTAGAATTTGATCTTCCGAACCCTAGTTTCTAGAGAGAGAAATTGTAGAGAGAGAAGGAGACAAAGAGGATTTGAGAGCAGAGCTGTCAGTGCAGTTAGGGCTTTCGGATCGGCAATTGCATTTGTGGTTTTATTACAAGAGATTGAAGGATAGGAAAACCCTAGTCTATATTACTAAACAGGGTAGTTATGTAAATCACAAATTAAATGTACTAAAGAACTCAATTTTTCTAGAAGTTGAGCAGAAATTCAAGAACTTGAGAAATCAAAACCCAATACCAATTCCAAAATCAAGAACCTGAGAAAGTGGGTCTTGATTGGGTTTTGATGAAAGTCAGTAGTGGTGGGTGTAGAGCCTGGTTTTATTAAGGAGGGTTTGGTTTTCCTGTAATGTTTTTTGTTTTTTTTTTCAATGACTTCTTTGTTGATTTAGAGCTTATCTTCTCCCATGGCTGTCATTGCCAACTTCCAACCCACTATAGCTATATGTATATGTACATATATAAATATATATTGTAATAATTATTATAATTAAACTAAAATTACTTTTATAACGGTTGAGAGAGAAAATGGAGTGGAAGGATGATCAATTAATGGGGATTTTCATGGGAGAGAAATAGTGAGAGCATGAAAAATGGTTGAAAAATAAGGAGGAAGAAAATGGCAAGCTTTTGTAAATTTAAAGACGTGTGAGGGGTATTTTGGTCTTAAAATATAGCTTACCCTCATCATAGGCGTGTGAAGCTCACAGTCTGTTAATTTGGATGGAAAAGTAAATGGTGTACTTTAATCCACAAATCATGTGAGAGCTATATGGTGATTTCCAAATGTCATGGGATAATCCGCAGTTAACCCAAAACACAGGGGGTAAAATGAAGTTTACCCATATATTTTTTACTAAATTCTTTTTTTCAAAAACTATTTTCTACAAAAAATGTTTTTATGATGTTTAGTTGTGTCCTTGAAATTAATGTATTAGTAATTGTAATAGTGGTAGCTGGTAGGAGTGAGAGTAGCGGTGGCCGTGGTAGTATGATGGCGGAAAACATATTTGCTATTAACAGGATTATACTTTCAGGACCTAACATTTATAAAAAGCAAAGCAATTTTTTCAAGAGTTTCAGTTGGACAATATACTAGCCACAAAAAAAAGAGTTGTTTCCCATGTCTAGACCCCTGCTGAATCTATGTTTAAAACAACAAAAATACTATAGAGAATGAGAAGTGTATCACAAAAATATCTGGAAACTGTCACTGTATGACCGGAAAAGTCTTTGCGATGATTTTCATGAAAAAAATTTCTTGGTATGTAGAATTGCTATTAAAACAAAGGTTGTCACCTCTAGTTATCCCAAAGCGGATGATTTAGTGCATGAGAATTCTGCTAAAATCATGCCTCATGAGGACAAAATATATGCAATTTTGTTTGACTTGAATTAGGAAGGAAAAAAAAAATCATACGACCTAACACTCAAAGCTTTGTTTCATCTCATCTTGCAAGAGATTATCAAATCTAAAATAGAAAACATGTTCGTCATTAGTATTGATTGTTTTTTTACCTTCAATTCTCATGAAATGGTGGAGATTCTTCTTCACTGGATCCTTATGTCTTTTAAGCGAGTCCTCATCTCGTTTTCGTGCAGTTTTCTGGGTTCAAGAAAAAAAGAATGGTAGAATTATTATAGCTTTACCAATTTCATATATTTGAAACAAAGACCCTTGGAAATAGGAATTGGCTAGTTGATGCTTTGTAGTTCATACCTTGTATTCGTCGTATAAACTGTCGATTTGTTCCTGGAATTCGTCAGCCGAGCACTTCTTCAGTTCTCTCACCAAAGCCTGCTTATTAGGAGACTTCATTAGTGAAATTTCCCAACCTATATAGCTAAGTAAGAGGATGAGGAAGATGAGGAAACTCTTACATCAATGATAAACGAGGGGCACACATTATGCTCTATAAGATTTTGAAGCTTTCCACGTATGACATATAGCCTACGTAGACAGATAAATACGTTAGATTACTTTTTCGATAGCAAAAATCAAAGAATGGTTTGATGGTTATCCTTATGGTTGCAAATGAATCAAGTTGTTCATGAACAGTTCGAGCTCGGCTCATTTATTATATGAATGAGCTTGAGTTCAATTTTTAAGCTCATTTAGTAATCGACCTAAGCTTAAGTAGACTCAAGCTCGGCTCGATATCAAGCTCAGCTCGATAAGGCTCGTGAACACAAAAAATATGAATAAATAATTTTTTTAATCCTATATCACATATATTGTTATTATTTTATTTGATTTCCTTATGTACATTTGGTGTTTAAGTAAAGTTCCATATTTGATTGTTAAATTTATTTTTAATATCAGCATTTTTTACTAATTTATATTTTGTTCATATTTTCTTTCCCTTAATATAAAGTTTTTTTTTTTTGAAGCTCAAACTCGACTTGTTTATGTAAGCATGTTGACTCGAGCCAAGTTTAAGTTTCTCAAATATGTGACGGGCTAAGCTCAAACTGAATTTTTTAAGCTCGACTTGAGCTTGGCTAGTTTGCAGCCCTAGTCCTATGCTTCGAGCTATGCAAGTTTGCAGTCCTAGTCCTATGCTGTAATTTGGCAATGGAACAACTTACTGTTTTGGGCTCTGCTCTTCTACTATGTTTTTGGCGATGTTTGCGATATCGCCTTCCCAACCAATCATAATTTCTTGATCTTCAGTTAGGGCAGAACTGCACGTACATCATTGCAAAACACATAAAACACAGAAGACGAAAAGGAGAAGTAAACACAGGAAAAATATTGATTTTGAAGCATAGATATGTATAACAAATTATATGTAGCTTAAAATAATTGAAGCTATCATTACTTTGCTTGCCAAGTGGCCTCCAATGAGCGTATGGCCTGTCGTAGATTGTTCTTAGCGTTGATAGCAATCTTATCCGCTAATTGGTGAGGCAATTCAATCCCTTCTTGTTTCGCTATGAATTCCAAAACTTTAACAATCTAAGTAACGAAAGGAGAAAAGGATTTAATCATTTTAGGAGAAGATTATAGCGCAAAAAGTTGCTGTAATTTAATCGTAACAAGCGGTTCTCACTTCCTCATTCGAAGGTGGAAGTAGTTTAACAACGGTGCAAAGAGACATTATTGGCTGAAGCTTTGAGGCATCGGAGCAACAAAAGAAGACCTTACTGCACCCTTTATGTCTCCCTAATTGCCACTTTATATACAGTAATGCATCTGCTGATAGTTTGTCTGCTTCATATAGAATGATCACTGCAAAAAAATTATATTGACAATTTGAATAAGTGTTTTGTGCTTTCGAAAACAAAAACGAAAAAAAAAAAAAGAAGCAAAAAGAGGTATACCTCGACAATTATCTTTGTTGCATTGCAAAGCTTTCTTGGCTAATCTGTTGATTGTTTCTTGCATAAGTTCAACGATGACATGTTTCTCGTACCCTTTTACTTCAGAGAGATTGACTTCGACATGTTGTGGGGATATTTTTACGGAAACTTTGATACTTGAAACAACTTCACCCTGAAAATAAAAATGTTTTAATTTTGCAATGCACCTATAGGAAGTGACGGTGTAGGCATACATGCTAGGTTAGCATTTTGGAAGTACTTTTATTGGGACAAGAAAAGAATAATACGATGTTACTTCAAGAGGTGTAGCATAGGGACTATTTGAGTTGATTTAAGCATTGGAATGGAAATCTTGCAAAGATTAACTGATCAAAATTATCAAAACAAGCAGATCTACTTCATCCTGAATTTGTTTTCATTTCCAAAGATGGGCAAATTTCATATACCCCTCAAGGTTTAGCAAAATTACAGATACCCCCTAAGGTTTGAGAAATTATAAATACTCCCCTGAAGGTACTATTTGCATAACAAATTAGGGGACAAATTGTCATGAAACTATAAACCTCAGGGAGTAATTTGTTATGAAAATATAAACCTCATGGGGGTATCTGTAATTTTCAAAACTTCAGGGATATCTGTAATTTAGCAAAACCTCAAAGGAGGTATATGTAATTTGCCCTCCAAAGATTAACTGATCAAAATTATCAAAACGCACTGATCTACTTCGTCCTGAATTCGTTTTTGCTGTGAAACCTGTTAATATGTGTTGTTATTTCTCAAAAGAATATCATTTGCGAGCTCTGCGAAACAATGAAACGAATTATTCCGTAGTGTTTAGGAATCTTTATCGGTGAGGAACGAAATAGTCAAAATGCAATATTTGACATATGGAAGTTCAGAGAAATCAATCAATTAAATCCATAATTACAATGAAGGAAAATCTTAGAATTTTACCTTCAAGACGAATTTCTTCAATTCCTCTTTTGTCTGTGGAACCACAAGGCAAACATGACAAACATTAGTTGCTTTGAAAAAAGATCCTGTATGGTAATCCGGTAAAAACCCTTCAAATTATTTTGGAAAATTTATCATTTCATTGAAATTCTTTTGAATGAACGATGTAATATCTCACACATGTTAAATTCTTACTCTTATTAAGATACATAACCTTCTTATGAATTATGAACAATACCAGTTATATAGGTGGTAATTTCAAATACAGATTAGGTTAGTTGTTTCAAATGTAGTTCACCTATGAAGATTAATGAATTGAATTAGGTGGTGTAATGAGCAACACATCACATTAATCCTTACATATCTTAGTGCTTCAAAGAAAACAACATTGTTTTTGGATTTTATTTTATTTTATTTTTATTATTATTATTTTTTTTTTTTTTGAAATCAACCCATTTTTAAGAAATGTCAAAATAAATATATAAAATAAATGGACTTAAAAGTGAAAACTATATGAAAATGATGAGAGTTTTCAAATTTTTCATTGTTTTTATTTTTGATTCAAACATGGAAAACTCAATCTGATCCTCTTTTGTGCCATCACATACCTAGTTTTAACACAAATTAATATCCAAAGAAAAATCTTAATGGCTAAATAGATGGCCACAAGAGTTAATTCTTAATTTCTATTTTGAAGTATTCTAAGTAGTTGCTAATTGAAGTGAAGAAATTGAGATGCATCAGATTAAAATTTTATACCAAACTCAATCCAATTGGGACTAAACTACGCGTACCTGTACTTTGTCTTCTCCGTAAGATTCGCGAAGCAGTGCCCAAATCATGGTTTTCTTTCCCACCCCTGGGGGGCCTTCAAATATGAAATGCCCACAATCTTCTTTTTTTGCCTACAAGATTATCCAAAAATCCAACTTCATTAAAAAAAAAAAAAAAGGGTATTCCTACAATTCTCAATCTCGTTCATTTCTTGAAGTAAAATAAACAAAAAGAAAAAGAAAGAATGAAAAATGAGAAGTTATCTCACCAGAGCCTTAAGCTCAAGTGCTTTATCCCTATTGCAAATAAAATCTTTTAAAGCCTCTGGTCGATACCTGTCTGCCCAAACATAAGTGCTTTCAGAGAATGATGCTTGTGCCTGAGGTGGTGGTGGTGATAGCGGTGGTGGTTGTGGTGTTTGGAGTGGTGGTGATGGCGGTGATGCTAGTGGTGGTGGTTGTGGTGTTTGGAGTGGTGGTGATAGTGGTGATAGTGGTGGTGGTTGTGGTGTTCGGAGTGGTGAAAGAAAAAGAAAGAATGAAAAATGAGAAGTTATCTCACCAGAGCCTTAAGCTCAAGTGCTTTATCCCTATTGCAAATAAAATCTTTTAAAGCCTCTGGTCGATACCTGTCTGCCCAAACATAAGTGCTTTCAGGGAATGATGCTTGTGCCTGAGGTGGTGGTGGTGATAGCGGTGGTGGTTGTGGTGTTTGGAGTGGTGGTGATGGTGGTGATAGTGGTGGTGGTTGTGGTGTTCGGAGTGGTGGAGGGGGTGGTGGTGGTTGTGTTTGGAGTGGTGTCGGTGGTGGTGATGGTGGTGGTTGCTCTGATGTTTGTGCAAATTGTTGAAATCGTGGCTGTGATGGTGCAGTTTGTCGGCCAAAAAAATGTGCAGCTTGTGGTGGGTATGCTGGTGGAGGTAATGGTTGTGCAAACGGTGGTAATGGTACTGGTGGTAGCAATAGTGGTGATACTGGTAGTGGTGGATTTTCTGAATCTCTCTCCCTCAATGGCTTCTTTCCTTTCAAACCAACGGTCACGATTTGCGCTTCTAAGCCTAATTCCTTTGCTAAAGTTGTTAATGCTGTTTTTGTACTCAATGATGACGATGTTGATGAAGATGATAAAGTGCGAGTGTGCTGGGACCATCTAGTCCCAGCAGGCCTCGCTCTTTTCGCTTCTTTACTACCAGAAACGAAATTAGACCCCCATTCTTGAATCTTGACAATGAAGCTTGACTTAGAACCCGAACTAATTGAAGTACTCGCATTGCTCTCTCTCTCTGGACTCGTCGCTGATGACAGTCTCTGTCGATGGAGAGCGAGGGACGAGTCAGTGAGCCCTCTAGAGTAAGGACTATAACCTGTGGTCTTGTTGTTGTTATTAGAAGAGATCTTTTTGTCAAACAACATTTCATTTCTTCTGTTGAACTCTTCAAGGCTCTCTTCAGTTAAGTCTAAGTTCTTCGAGGATGACGAAGAGTTGCCCTTTCTTGTGATGTAGTTTCCAACTTTCTGGGACCAGTTTGTGGTGGTATTGGGTAAGGAATTAGTGATGGTGTATGGACTCGGCATTGAAGAGCTGGGAGGGAATTGACGCCTGGTTTCTTTTCTTCTATTTTCTTTTCGAGGAAGAGGAAAGAAAACTAGGGGAGGAGGAGGAGGGAATGTTGATGTTGATGTTGGCAAGGTTGGCATTGCATTGTTGGGAATGTTTGTCCATATTTGAGAATTTTGGAGAGAATTTCTAGGGGGGAAAGAAAATGAAGTGGCCGTTACAACCGAGGGTTTCATAGGGGAGACAGCTGACCAATATCATCCCATTTGAAAAAGGAATCAGATTCCCTCCTTCAATTTCCTCTTTGAATTTCTACTTAATGAGCTCATTTTTAGGCCTAATTGCAATGATCCGAATCGTTCAAATTTTAAAATTTGTTGAGTATATCATATCTGTAAAAAATCAAGTTGATCAGAATTAGAAAACATGTATTCAGAAAACTGTTTATTAATTTTTTTTAAAAAATGATTTTTAGTTCGATGATCCGAAAACATGTTTTCTGATATCCGATCAACTTGATTTTTTACAAGTATGATATACTCAACAAATCTTAAAATCTGAACGGTTCAGATTATTAAAATTAGGCCTAAAAGTAAGTCCAATGGCTCAACAAGTAAAAAGTCAAGGAAGGAATCCTAATTTTTGAAAATGACACCCCTTCAATCAAGCAAAATTCTCTTCTTGAATCCTCTACTTGACTTCTTACTTGATAGGTTATTGAGCCCATTTTTTAGTCCAATTTTGATAATTCGAACTGTTTACATTTTAAGATTTGCCATGTATATCATACCAGTAAAAAATCAAGTCGATCGGATATCAAAAATCACGTGAGCTAAAAGTTTTATTAAACAATAAAACTGTTTATTAAATTTTTTTTAATAAACGGTTTTTAGTTTTCTAATATTCGATTAATTTGATTTTTTACATGCACGACGTACATGATAAATTTTAAAATGTAAACGGTTTGGATTATCAAAATTGGGCCCAAAAGTAGACCCAATGACCCATCAAGTAAGGAGTCAAGAAGAGAAATCGAGGATCTTTGCTCTATTCAATCATATTTTTGTATGAAAATTTCTATTTAGAATACGAAAAATGCTTGGCAGGTGGTAAATTCTATATTTTTAAGTCTCTCAAGGATTTGTCATAGTGTAACTAGAATTTTTGATTTTATAGGATGATGTAATATTGAGACTTAGATCGTATATAATCAAATATTTGACAAATTAAAATTTAATATTTGTCAAATATATCATTAGTGATGTTTTAAGGTTGATAAATTAAGGAAATAGCATTGTTGTTAAAATACATGTATAGAAATAAAAAATATAAAGATACTTTATCACCCGTCGTCTAAAGACAAAAATGAATAAATAAATAAATAATTGAAAAAAATTAAGATTTCAAAAATAAAAGTTTGATGGAGTGGCTCTATTTGCACACTAAAAGATTGGTTGAATATCCCAATTTAATAAAATTTATTATTACTATTATGCCCTTATTTAAAATAATAAAAAAAATACTTTATATTGAAAAAATATAAATCATAGTGTTTTGTACACTCCGGATCATAATCCAATATCAATCTTCTCTTTTATTTTCTCTTATGATTTATTCACTTTGTATACTAACTCTTATTTTGGTAAGCAAGTCATAAATTAAAAACAAGAATAAACACATTTACAAGGAATTACAAAACATCCACACCACACCACCCCTCCAAGGAGGGGAAGACGAATGAAAAAACAAACAACTTCTACAACATACCAGGCTAATGTGGTGAAACCAAAACCCACACCAATGATTTCAAACTCGGATCGGACCAGCCTGTCGAACTGGTTGGATGGGGAACCGGACCTTGTTCCGATCCGGTCAACCCCTCAAACCCGGAGTAGGAGCAAAACCGGTAAAAACCGGTGACCCAGTGGTCGGACCGGCAAACCCGGTGACCCGAACTGGGTCGGGAGGGTCGGACCGGTCTGGTTTTTCGGTTTTCCTTTTTTTTTTATTTTCTTTCTTTTTTTCTTTCTTTCTTATATATATATATATATATATAAATATATTTCAAAATTTTGTCTAAAAATTCTTATTTCAAGAGTCTCTTCTCATAAGGAAGAGTCTCATTGAAAACTTGAGATGAGAAGATTATGAAAGTCTATTCCTATTTATAAGAAAATGTTTTTCAAAGAGAACCTACAAAATTCTATGTGGGATTCAATTAAATTATTTGAAACATATTGATTGGAGGGACGGTTGAAAATTTTATTTCCCTCCAAAATTAAATTTAGCATTCAATCAATTTGTTTAGAGGAAATGTTTAAAAATTTTAGTTTCTTTAAAATAGGGGAAAGAAAATGAAGTGGCCGTTACAACCGAGGGTTTCATAGGGGAGACAGCTGACCAATATCATCCCCTTTGAAAAAGGAATCAGATTCCCTCCTTCAATTTCCTCTTTGAATTATAATTTGTAGTTATATTTTTTAATTATATAATATTAATTATGACATCACGATTCGACTACTTTAACCCGACAATTAAATCGATGACTCATCTATTCGATCCCTTTTTCCACTCCCTCACCGATCCAATTTTAAAAATGAAAAATATTTAAAGGCTACAAAAAATTGTTGGAAATGGTGAAAAAATTCTGGGTAAAACCAGAATTTTTTCTCAAGTTTGGTCTATTTTTTAGGTGGGCCCCGAGCATCGATTTACTCGGGTCAAAGTGGTAACGCGTTCTCTGCCGCATTGTGATTCACGTGGTATATTTGGTTGCTCAAAACCATTACCGAGTGAATGGGAAATTGAAGCCAAAGTGTGCTCCATGGAAATGGAGTTATGGTGGAAATTCCTTAAGGTTGTAAATTGGCTTGTCCCACATTGATTTGGTGGGAAGTTTTGAAAGGGTTTATAAGGCTTAGGGTGAGATACTTGGGGTGTGCCCCAAGGGGTACCCAAGTGTTTTAGAGGGAGAGGTTATGGGCTAGGCCCATTGGACCCAAAAATCACCACACGCGCGCCGCCGCCGTCCGTCCGGTCGGTCGGGCTGGGCTTGGGCGCGGGTGCGTGGTGTGTTGGGCTTCTGTTGAAGTTAAGCCGAGATGGTTCCTTGGGTTGCTCGGATTGTTTGATGTTTTTGCCCCAACCCGTTCAAATTTAATTCGAGCTTCTGAATTTTTGCCCAAGCCCGTACCAAATTTAAAAATATCTTATCTAAGCCCTAAAAATATTCGGGCTGGACTCGGGTTGCTCGGGTTGAGCGCGCCCAACTTACACCCCTAGTATGTATGTTTTCTCTTCACCTTCTATGTTTTCGGCGGTGGGATTTACAGAATTTAAGACACTGAGCCCTGGCAAATTATTTGGGCTAAATAATTATAAAAAGACAAAAAGAAAATTACAAAATGATCAAATTAATCCACATACAAATAAAAAGTCAAAAAAGTGTCATTTCCAAGCGGAGGGCAATTTTGTCATTCTAATGTCAAAAAGTCAAAAAAGCTAAAAAAAATAATCAAAGAAACAAAAAAGTCTCGGGTTAAAAAAGTCAAAAAAATCAAAAGTAGTACTAGTAAATTAGTAATATCAACCTCAATAACAAAAAAAAACTTGGGCAACGGGAATCAACAGCCACGTGACCCAGTGCACGCTGACTGAACAACGTGAGGTGGGTAAAGCCATGCCCTCCACGCGCGCTGACTTGCGTCAGCCATACATCGTCACCTTCAATACCTCAACCAACCCACTGTAACTCCGGCGCTGGAGCTAGCTATACGAAGCCAAACCATTCACCAACCACCGGCGAAACAACTGAATCTCCCATACACCGACGGTCGCAAGAAAAAGAAAAGAAAGAGCCAACCCTTCCATTCTCAGGGACACAAAACCGCCGACAGCAAATCACTTCCATCCTCACGCACTCCTTTTTATCAGTACGCCGTTTTCGAAGAACAAAGACCACACACTCACTAAACACTGACCATGAAACCAACCGAACAGAGCCACCATGTAAATGAAACACGAGTATGAGCTCAAGGACATGATCACTACCCAGTTCACTTTCACAAATAAGAACCCCAGAATGGTCTTCACCAGTTAACTCACAGAACTAGAACAACAGCAACCCAGATCATAGAGAAGGGCATGAAAAGCCCACCTAGGCGGCGCTACAAACCTTCGAGAACTAGGCCAATACCATCTAGAACTGGGACAACCCACTAACAAGGGCAGTCGGTTATAAATAAAGAACATAACAGCCATAGCTTGAACAACCTATGGCCGAACCAGATGGATGATGCACCGGAACACCACCAAAAACTCAATACTCACAAACTCGCCATCCCTCTATAGATCATGAAAACCAGCCGGAAACAAATATGAAGCTTTAGCTGGACTGGTCAACAACAAAGAACCCACCGAAGGGAGAGAGAGAGAGAGGCTCTACTTTCTTCCCCTCTTCCTTTTGCCATCCCGTTGTATCTTTATTCCCAACCCTATTTCCCTTCGATCTATTATTCTTACGTTCTCTTTTCATATCATGAAAAACCCTTCATGAAAATAATCATGAAATTTTTGTAACATTTGAATTACACTTAAAATAAAACACTACATACTAATCAATGTAATCCAAGAATCATAACTTTTTCATGATCATTTTCATGAAAAAAATTTCATGATGTCTAACTTTTCTCTTTCATATTTACGTCAACAATAGACAATTGAAAAATATACTTTTCTGAGCTTTTTTTTTTTTTTTATAGAGTATGTATTAGTGTTGCAATTATGAGAAGTTGTCTAAGCACAATTTAAGTTGTGCTGAGACTTATCTAGTCCCGAATTATAACTCGAGATTTACTGTCTTAGCTTGGGCTGAGTTAAATCCGAATTATCCGAGTTACCCGAATTATAAATGAATTTTTTTTTTTTTTTGTAGTTACATTATTAAATTATTAAAATTTGATTTATTTACATTTTTTTTATATAGAAAATCATTAATATTATCAAAACAAATAATTTATATAATGTAAGAAAGATACCGATATAGTAGTCTTTATAATTTATGAGTGAAAATTAAAAACAAAAAAAAAAGTAAGATTTTATGTTATTTGTATATATAATATGTATTCAATATGATTTAATA